CCAACCCCATTCCCAGTCCCTACAGGTGGGGGAGGGCTATCCCAGGAGGTTATCAGCATCCAAACAAGGGGCCTGGGCCTCTGTCAGCACTCAGGCTGATGGGCAGGGGGGCAGATAAGGGGACTTAAGCAGTTGGAGGAATGTGCATCCCTAGCTCCACGAAGGGGCTCAGGCCCTGAGAGGGCCTGTGAGGGATAGGGCAGAGGCCACTGTTGGCTCCTCCTTCCAGTCTTACAGGCTGTCTCTGAGCCGGTCTGGGCCCTTAGAAACCTGATTCCAGGGGCCAGATGGAGGGGGCTGGCCAGATTGGGTGACAGGGAAACCAGAATCCGGGTGGCCTGGCATATGGGGCCAGAGAGAGGCCCCTGGGATTCAGCCTCCTGGCCTAAAGGGTTCCTGACCCCCAGCACATCGCCTGATCTGGGGGTCTCTGGTGCCTGTAATCAGGTGTTCTGAGGTTTGACTGCTGCTATGCGAGGAAGAGAAAGGAAACTACCTGGTGTGAGCATTAGTGTGTATGTGACCAGCTCTGGGGTCAGCAGTTCAGCAGCTGTGTTGATGGGTGGTGGGGGGGCGTATTTCAGTGTCCCCCGTACAAACAAACAAACAAACAAGGTTAACTCCTGAGACAGCCTGGGGCCAGACATGCTGAGGATGGACAGAGTACAGTGCCTGGTGGGGTGTGGGGTGGTGGGGCCAGGCCCACTCCCTCCCACACTGGCTGCTGGGCAAATGGGTGAACAAGTGGGAGAGGTCCTTAGGTAACCCGAAGGGACTGGTATTGGGGTTGGTAAGGTAAACTTTGGAGAGCGTCCCACAACACGGAAAGGCATTCCCACTTCACACTTCCCTGGAGTAGGCTCCCCCCTCCTGGTGGTGAAGAGTTCTAATCTTCCTTTTCTCTCAAGATGAGGATAAAGGAAGGTGATTTCCCTCTGTGTTGCAGTGATCCGGGGTCGCAGGCCCCTTTCTCCTCTCCAGGAGGGGTTTCCTGAACTGCTTCCATGCGGAGCCAGCGTGGTGGGCCAACCAGGCTCAAGACTATTCACTTTCCTATGGCAGGGGTCCCGAGAGAGGGGAGAATTGCAGCTGGCGCCCTCTGGTGGGCGAGGTTGAAACTGCCAGTGGCCGAGCGACTCCCCAGGCAGCGACTCCCCACCCCCCCGGCGGGGGGGGCGTTTCGCCCGCGAGTGACCTGGGGTGCCGAAGTTTAGGCAGAAAGCAAGGACTAAGTCACTGAGGCTGACTGCATTCGTTCTTTGATTGATCGTTGATTCATTCATTCATTCGCTAGAAGAGCTCTTGTAAGAGACGTTCTCTTCTTCCTCTCACCTATAACCTCCAGAGTCCTCGGCACGTGCTTGGTTGGGGGCGCGGGAGACTGGCTGAGTGCAGCAAAAAGTCATCTCTGGGGGAAGCCTTCCCAACCCAGCCGTCTAACCCCTGTGCGTGGCCCAGCTCGGCTATTTACCCCTGCGAAGCGGCTGAGCGCTCCCTGTAAGCCCTGTTTACTGGGTGGTTCTCCCCGGGACCCAGGCAGGCGCCGAGCGCCCTCCTGCCCGCAGTGGGGGCCCAATCCACATTTTCCGCTTCTTCCAGGGCTTTCCCGGCCCGAAAGGGCGCCGGGCAGACAGCGGGAAATTGCTTTTTCTCCCTCTCCGCCCCGCCTCTCCTCGTTGCTCCTTCAGTCGGCTCAGCGCACAGTAGGAGCGCTGCCGATTCACTTTGGCCCCGAGCACTGAGGGATGACGGCGCACGCCGAGGTTTGCAGAGCGCTGGAGGATGAGCAGGCCTGTATTTGCGGGGCGAGGGGAGACGTCTCCTAGGCAGGGGCCCGAAGTGCTTAACGTCGTCTTGGCGATTTGCATTTGAACAGTCGGTGGAGAGTCCGCGGCGCTTTGAACGCCGGGCGCAGGAGGCGCGCAGCTGAGGAGCGGCAGTCCCGGCCTCCCCGCGCAGGCTGGTGTGGATTTGAGGGGCCCGGGGTGGGCCGGGGCGAGGGATGCGTTTGGAAAAAGGCTGAAGGTGTGTGTTTGGGTCCCTGCGAGGGCGTGTTTGCGGAGAGGGGCTGTTTGTGTTGGCGAGGAGTGTGTGTTTGTGTTTTCAGGAGGCGAGGGTGTGTGTGTGTGTGTGTGTGTGTGTGTATGTTTGTGTTTGCGGAGTGTGGGGGCGGCCGGGAAAGATGGCCAGGCTGTCACTCAGCGATCAGGTTGACAGGCGCTCCCTCATCAGGGCCAGGGAGCTCTGATTGCAGATTCGAGGAAACAAAATAGCAATTGTAATTACGGGGCTTTGATAAGATAAAGGAAGAAGCGAGCTGGCCGGGAAGCGAGCAAGGGAGGGAGGGAGAGAGTGGCCTGCTGGGGCCCCGACGGCATATTTGCATCTGTCACTCAGGGGGCAGGCCGAGCAGGACCCAGTGCCCTTTGTGAGGGTGTCCCCATCTCCTCCCCCACTCCAAACCCCAACCCCAAAACATAGCCTTCTGGGGAGATGAGAACAATCTCCCATACTGATGAGGGTTCATTTTGGGAGAAGTTCTCCAAATGTAAAGGAATTCTGCCCTATAGAAAGGCCCCTTGATAGAGGTTAAAGTGTAGTTACTAAAACCTTGACCTCTCGCTTTTAGGTCCCAGGATGCCCGTCTCTTCTGGTGAAGGGGACAGAGTGGGTTAAGACCATTGAAGTTCAGCGTAGGGATTTCAGAACCTTCTTGGAGCTCCAGAACCCGGGCTGGACATTTTGAGTCAGATACTCTCTGGCCTCCATCCCCACTCCAGGGAAGGGCTGGCGCCCAGAGTGACTCTAGTTGTGGCTCCAAGACTATGCACACTAAGACTGCCCTGACTCCAGCCTGGGTCCTGCCCAATGCTGTTCTCATCAGACAGTTTCCAGAGGGCTGAGTCCCTGGTGGGGAGAAGGCCCTTCCCACCCTCTGCTCTCTGTCTCTCCACTCACTCATTCACTCATGCACACAAACATTTTCAGGGGCCTACTATGTGCAGACATGTGTTTAAGATGGTGAGCATTCTGCCTGTTGGAAGCAGTACAGTGAAGAGGGTAGAGCCCCAGGGAGTGGACTGTAGGCCTCTAAGACAGAGGACTGTAAGAAAAAGGGCTGGTTTGGGCTGTGGGCACTGGAGCCCACCTCACCTGTCTCCCTTCTAATGGGCTCATCGCTTAGTGGGGTTGAAAGGAGACAGTGCAAATTCAGCCTTCAGCAAATATAAGTGCTAAATAAATAGTAGTGCTTATAATTATTATCTGAAGGCATGTCTTCCTGGGGAAGCCACTCATGGGCTGAGGTCTAAATGCTCAGCCAGTTTCTTCATGATTCATTCATCAAGTGCCAGCTGCAGAGCAACCCAGCCCAGCTTGGTGCCATGAGCTACAACTTCTGATCTAAAAGACATGGTCCTTGCCTGGAGATCTGTGTGTGCAAGAGCCAGAAGAGTGAACAGACTCCTGGAGGAAGGAACAGGTAGGCTCAGGGAGTCTCCTTCTTTGAGGAGGGATGAGGTCTTGAGACAAGTCCTCTGACCCTGTTTTCCCATCTATGCACCGCTCAGTGTTAGCTTTAGGCCGGGAGTGGAGAAAGGTGGGGCATGGGGACAAGTGGGGCACAGAGAAAGGGGAGGTAATAGAACTTGATTGTACTGTTGGACAAGGACCTGCCTACTGCCCCTGGCCTAATGGCTTCCCAGGACCACCCCAACCCCTCCAGTCCAACCCTCAAGGACACGGAGTGCCAGTGGGACAGGGGAGGTCATGGGCAGAGGAAGCAGCTGGGTAGGGCATCAGGAGCTCTACCTGCTCCTCACGAAGGGTCAACCACCCAAGCCCCTCCCAAAGAAGCACCATGGCTCAGGGTTTCCAGAAGCCCCTGGGGGAACGCACTGAGGGTCTGGGAGAGGCTTAGACACTACTTTCTTGGCGACCTCCCCATGCTTGACACAAAGCACCAGTGCACGTCTAGTCCAGTAGGTGTGTAAATGCCTCAGTGCACAAATAATGAGACTCTGAGAGGGAAAGGCTAGGCGGCCCGCAACTAAGTCTCTTCTCCAGGAGAAGCAGCTGACAGTTCTTTTTGCCCCCCCCCCACCCCCCGCCTGCTGCTTTGGGAGGGCGGCAGGGGTGTGGGTCCTACCAGGGACCTCCAGACTCTCCGACATAGATGGCTCAAGCTTCAGGTCAGTATCTGTGGGACGCACGCAGCAGTGACGGTGATAATGGGGGAGGGGACATTTCTCGCTCTCTGGGTCTTCTTGGAGACCGGTGAGACAGGAGACGCCCGCCGGAAGGGTTACTCGTCAGAAAGGTGGGGGTGGGGGTCGGGTCCCCTTCGCATTCGCACGCACTGCGGAACGCACAGCCATTCACTCCCGCGTCGGCGGCCACTTCCAGGGGACACGCGGGGCCGAAGCACACAGTAGGCAGCTCAGAGACACGCCGCCTCGCCTGAGGCAAAAGCGGACCCGGCCCCGAGGTGGAGACCTGGCACCTTTGGACCCCGGCGCACTCGCGGTCCAGGAAGACCAAGCCCGAAGCGCCCCCCCATCCCCGCGGGTCCAGACACCTAGAGCGCGCGAGGGGGTCAGCCCCGGGATGGGGGAGGCGCCCCCCCCCGCCGCCCCCGGCCCCCCCCCCCGCCCCCCCCCCCCCCCCCCCCCCCCTCGCTCCCGGTGCGGCGCCCCCCGCCCCCACCCCTCCCCCTCCCTTCCCACCTACCCACCCACCCTGCCGGCCCGTTACCCTCCCGCCTGCTCCGGCTCCTGAGCAGCCAGCGGCCACCGGCTCCGGCAGCGGCGCAGAGCCACTCAGCACGGCGCGGCGCGGCGAGCTCGACATTCCACGGGACCCGCGGAGCCGCGTCCGGACCGCCGCCCGCCTCCCGCGCTCCAGCCTTCCTCGGCCGCCGCCACCCTCGGCTCGTCCCTCGCGGCCGCCCGCGGGCCGGCGTGATCCCGCCGGGGTTCTCGGTGCTCCCCGGGCCGCGCGCCATGGGCAGCCCCCGCTCGGCGCTGAGCTGCCTGTGAGTACGGCCGCCGCCCCCCGCGTCCCCGCCGGCCCCGCGCCGCCGCGCCGCCGCGCCCTCTCGGCTCACCCCGCGCCCTCTCTCTCCCGCCCGCTTTTGTCTCCCACAGGCTGTTGCACTTGCTGGTTCTCTGCCTCCAAGCCCAGGTAAGGCGCATTGCGCGGCGGCGGGGCCCGGGCGGGCCGGCGGGGGCCGCGGGTTGGCAAGGTCGGGCAGGGGCCCAAGGACCGACCCTGCGGCCAGCGCGGCAGGGCTGGGAGGAACCTTAGAAATCCAGCCCCGAACCTGCCCTAGGAGGGAGCCGGGGAACAGAGAGGGAGCGCCCTGCCTAAGGTCACACAGCTAATGTGCGGCGAGGCTCGAACCCAAGGTTTCCGGCTCCAGCGCTGTCTCTCACACCTCCTAGCCGGGCTGGGGTGGATGGGGAATTCTACGGGCAGCCACACCTGGCTGCCGAGGAAGGGGTGGGGAGCTGGGGCCAGGGAGCGTTCGTTGTCACAAGTCCCGGGGACTGCCGCGGAGACTCTCTCCGTGGCTCTCTGGGGCGACTTGTGCTGGGTCTGGCCGAAAGATCAGGTGCCTAGGCTCTCTGCGCTCTCAACATTTGCTCTGTAAATTTGTCTTTATAAATGTCAGCGGTTGGGCAGCGCTGCCTCCCTACTTAGAAGCATCCTGCTTTTCTAGGAAGGCGTGGGGAGGGGGCGAGGGGCTGGGGCTTTGGGCAGAGAACTTGCTTCCCTGATGGGAGTTGGCCGGGAGTCCCAGGGTGTTTCCCAACAGGTAGGTCCAGATCGGTCCAAGCTCATCCTTGCTAGGCTGGGTCTGCTCCACTTTCCTGGGTTGGGTGCTGGGGCCTGAGCTGGCTTGTTGTGGGGGGGACCCCCCCAGCCCTTGTAGGCTGCTTGGGGCAGTGGAGGCGTGTGCAGGGTGATGGGGGCCTCTCGGGCCCCTGGGCAGAGTAGCATTATAATGGCGTGTTGTGTATTTTTCAATTTCCTAAAGGTAACTGTTCAGTCCTCACCTAATTTTACACAGCATGTGAGGGAGCAGAGCCTGGTGACGGATCAGCTCAGCCGCCGTCTCATCCGGACCTACCAGCTCTACAGCCGCACCAGCGGGAAGCACGTGCAGGTCCTGGCCAACAAGCGCATCAACGCCATGGCAGAAGACGGGGACCCCTTTGGTAAGGCGAGCTGCACGGGGCAGGGTGAAGTTAGCTTGTAGAACACGCCCTCCTTCCCCCTGGCTGGCCTGCTGTGACCGGACCTGCCAGCCCCATCCGTGCTGGCCAGAGGCTCCCCAGCTCAGAAGGGAAGGAGTTAAGGCAAAAAAAGCATCTTTGGGGTCAGCTGGAGAAAAGAGGGTTAGAGAAGGGACCTTGGGGAGTACTTGGCCCACAGGTGCCCCTTCTCTACCCAGCAGATGAATGAATCCAGGCATCTCCTTTTCTACCTCCCCCATTCACACACCCCTCCCCAGCTGCAGGTGGAGACAGAGGGTTCTGCGGGAGGGGCCCCAGGTTTAAGGGAAGCTCTTGAAAGAGGATATGTCGCCAGGGTCCACAAAAGGAGAGTTGGGAAAGAGACGGGAGAAAAATCCCCCCAGCCCTTCCAGCTTGGACAGGGGGGGCCATGAACCTTTACATATTTTGACCAGAAGGGCCAATTGCACATAGGCACTAGGCTTGGGAAGGGGCCCTCTCTCCACCCCACTGACCCGGGAACCCAGGTAGTGGTCAGAGCCAGGCTCCTGACTCCCCGTGGGGCGGTGAGTCCGGGGAGCTACTGCGGGGCAGAGAGGCTGAGGACTGATTGATTTCTAAAACATTCAATATTCCTGCCTTGAAACAAGGCCAATTTCCAGAGTCCTGGATGTACCAAGAGAAAAGCAAGCCCTCTGGACGGCTGGTGTTGTTTTTAGAGAGCGATTATTGTGAGTTTAAAAACCTTTAAATAATGACCAAGTTAAACAAGCATGAAAGGAGAGGGGAAGACTCTATTAAAATGTAATAAAAAGGTGAGGCATTTTAAGAGCTAAGAAGAAAAATGAAGAATGATATAAAACAGAAAAAGAACGAGCCTTTTTTCAGATGTGGAGTTTGAAAGGAGTTGCAAGTCTGTAAATGTTAAAAAAGAGGTTCAAGATTGTTCTCTATGAATCTCTGGAGAGACCCCCGCGTCTGGCAGAGCGATTAAAACTCTTCTTACTTTCACCTTTTTTAACATTTCCTGAATACTTTCTCCTCTTCTCGAGCCAGTTTGGGGGATCGAGTATGTCTCACTGCATTTTTTCTGCATCGACGTAGCTGACTTCCCTTCAAAGCTGGAGAAGGAGACATAATTTTCCCGGGATAAATCTGTCACTGGGGTGGAAGAATAGGTTTGAAAATGTTAAGCTTTCCAAAAGGCTGGTCGGGAAAGCCGCCGCCGTAAACTGCGGCCCCAGCTCCCCAGCTCCATCCAGGAAGGGGAGTGGGGGCTCTCCGTGGTGGTGGGGGGGCGGCCTGCCCGGTGGCCGAGCTCCCCCGCTGGGCTGGCAGGGCCAGCCTGCCGTCCCTTTGTCCCTCCAAACTGGCTGCTTGCTGCCCTTCTCAGCTTCCAAGGAAAGGGAACGAATGCTTAGTTCCTCCTGGGTTTGCTCCACTGGAGCAAATGGTCCAGCACCCTTGGGTTCTGGGGAGGGAAGAAGAGGCTAAGCTGGCCATGGAGAAGCTCATCTTCAGACCTCACAAGTCTGATGCCCACTTCTGTCCTTACAAGTGTAGGAAGCCTTCCAGGTTCGCCGGTTCCTGCCTGCCAGGCAGGAGTGGGAGCCGGAGGGCCTGAGAGCAGAGGCTTAGGGTGTGCAGCTGGGACAATATGAGTCCGGGGGAGAAGAGCAGAGAGGTCCCAGTTGCTTCCTGATGGGTCCCAGGAAGGAATAGAGGGGTTGTGCCATCCTTGTCTGCCCCATTTGGCCAGAATCCTCCGAGTGGGATCCTCGGGCCCCTTCTCCAGCCAGCGTCCCTTCGGGCCTCTGGAAGGCAGAGCAGGAGAGGGATGAGCAGCGTGGCCGGGTCCAAGAGGAGGTGGGTGGGAGGGGACGTGACAGCTGCATTTCCCTGGCTGACTTGAAGCCAGACTAGAGACTTGGCCATTGGGTCCCAGCTCTGTCCTATGTGAAGAGGTGGGGGTAGTATCAGGAGGGGCAACGAGGGCTGCCTTGCTGACCTTGGTGCCCATCCTCCTCGTTAGTTTTAGTGGCAAAGAAGGTGCTGCCTTGTTAGTGCAGGCTGGGAGACAGCTCTGGAAATCCCAGAACTGCTTTCTCAAGGAGGGAAAAGCAGTAGAGAGGACAGAAGACTCAGCCCCTCCTGGCTTATCCCCAACAGCTAAGTCAGCCCTCATTCCCTGCTTGAGGACAGCCACAAAGGGAGGAATTACACAGGGACTAGACAGGGACCAGGACTTCTGTGGCAAGTTGGCTGTCTAAGGGGAGGGCACCAGGGAAGAAGGCACAGAATTCAGCTCCCTGTCTCAATGGCTTTCCAGACTGAGAGGCAAGCATGCCTGATTTTTTTCCCCTCCTCACCCACAGCAAGTGTTTGGTCACTGGGGTGAGAAGCCCAGCTGTGATGGGGGTTGAGAGAGACAAGACTATTTGAGTCATTGATTTCTGGACACTGGGGCTGGGGACAGTGGTGACTGGGAAGCGTGGAGAAGAGCAGAAGCCTGCCAGCTGGGGTCTGAGGTTCTGGGAAAGTAGCAGGCTGTGCGTGGAGGGAGAGTGGTCGGCCTCCCTGTCATCTCAGCAGAACAGGGTGGTGGTTGTGGGGGGGTTGGCCAAGGACATGAGATAGAACCTAAGGAGCCAGAAACAGGAGATAGTGCTTTTACGTTTTGCCTCAGAACTCATGTCACTGCTGCGCCCCAGAAGTTTGTGGTGATCTTTGAGGCATGTGCGTGTACTACTCTGAGTTTGAAGGATTCCCAGAGATCTTCTGATGAGAGTAGAACTCTAGTCATGAAGCCTTGACGTGAAAAGTCAGTACTATCTGGTTTTAAAAGAGGGGACCATTGAGTTTGATGGCTTTAAGATTCCTCCACAGGAGCAGCAGAGCAGGCAGAGGGAGATCCCAGTCTGTGCTTCATGCTCTTGTCCATGCCCCTGTGTACATCCGTGAGGGGCCTGAGGCCCAGGGAGGGGAGTCGATCTTTCCCAATGTCGCCTAGCATGGTGGCAGCTGGGCTGGGGCTGGAGCCCATGTCTTGGGTACCTGCTCTTAGAGCAGTTGCTACTGGGATGTGACAGGTCTGAGGGTCAGCTGGGGTGACAATGTGGTACAGTGGGGTCAGGGAACTTCCAATAACCACCCGCCACCTTCCCTGACAGCAAAGCTCATTGTGGAGACAGATACCTTTGGGAGCCGGGTTCGAGTCCGAGGAGCTGAGACCGGTCTTTACATCTGCATGAATAAAAAGGGGAAGCTCATTGCCAAGGTGAGGCCCCAGAAGGAGGGGAGGGTCCCTGGGTCCTAGGGAGGGGGCTGGGCAGGCAGAGCTCCTGTAGGGTCCCAAGGAGGTGGGCAGAGAGACCCAGGGCCACCTTGGGGTTACCTAGTGGTTGGGTGGAAGGTGGGGGAGGTGAGAGAGAAGGAAACTGCTTGAGAGATGAGAAGCTATAAAGGCAAAGGAGGAAGAAGGAAGGCTAGGGAAGGGGCTGGTGGGGGGGTTGGTAAATTCCATATATCTTTTTAACAAATCGCCAAATTGCTTTGCTATTATGTCCAATTACATGGTACCAGCATTTGGAATGTTCAGTAAGCCGCAGGCCCAGCCCCTCGGCCGAGCTCTGAAATGGCCCCATTAGTCACGGCTCTTCTCCAGCCTCAAGCTCCCCGCTTCCTGGGTTTCTGGGGCTCGGGGCTCTGCATCTCCCCGCAGGCCTCCCCTCCCCCATGGAGTGGCTGTCCTGGGGCCCCGGAGGTCTTGAGGGGCCCAGGGGGATGGTGCAGCTGGGGAAACGGGTGCGGGCCGCTTGGCCAGACTGGTGGGCAGGAGGCCAGGGCAGGCAGGGTCTGGGCCCCCTCTCTGGCCCTCTGTGTTGGGGCCCAGCCCCTCCGGAGACAGCCATGTGTCACTGCTGCCCGGGAGGACAGGAAGTTGCCGGGTGGGCTGCGGCTTGTGAGGGATTAGAGAGCGGGTGCCCGGGCCGGGGGTGGGGCTGTCACTCGTGCCCACCCTGCCATCTGCTGGGGTGCCCACCTGCTGTCTGGGGCCGCCTGCCCTCTGCCTCTGCTGGGGTGGGGGTGGGGGGCGTCTCCGGCCAGAGCCCGGTAACGTCGCGCGTCTGGCCCCACTACCTGCAGAGCAACGGCAAGGGCAAGGACTGCGTGTTCACCGAGATCGTGCTGGAGAACAACTACACGGCCCTGCAGAACGCCAAGTACGAAGGCTGGTACATGGCCTTCACCCGCAAAGGCCGGCCCCGCAAGGGCTCCAAGACGCGGCAGCACCAGCGCGAGGTGCACTTCATGAAGCGGCTGCCCCGCGGCCACCACACCACGGAGCAGAGTCTGCGCTTCGAGTTCCTCAACTACCCGCCCTTCACGCGCAGCCTGCGCGGCAGCCAGAGGACTTGGGCCCCCGAGCCCCGGTAGGCGCCGCCGGCCCTCCCCGCCGCGCCGAGCCGCTCGCCGCGGGGGCGCACGGAGAAACTCCGGGAGCCGAGGTCTGCGCTGCTGAAGGCTGGGGAGGAGCTGGGGGAGCCCCGGGTTCTAGCTGTCCATAATTGTTTGCTGTTGGGTTTTTTTTTTTTTTTTGGTCGTTGTTTTGTTTTGTCTTGTTTTTTAAACAAAAGAGAGGCTCTATTTTTGTATTCCACTTGGCGGTGGTGTCTGTCTTCTTCGCTTTTGGGAAGGCTGGGAGTGGCCTAGACTGGGATTCTGGCGGGGGTTCCTTCTGGGTGGGAGGGGGGCTTTTCCAGGCCGTCAGAGGTACTCCTGAGACAACCCCCCCCTCCTCCTGCAGGGTAAGCTGGCCAGGCTTACCCCACCCCCCAGGTGGGGGCAGGGGGGGAAAGAGTGGGGAGTGAGGACGTAGAGCAGGTTTTTTAAAGGTGGGTGTCAGTGGGGGGTGGATGTGTATTATTATTAAATGACTGAAATATTTATTTATTTACTTATTTTAAAGGTTTTAAAAATTTATTTGACAGAAAGGGATCACAAGTAGGCAGAGAGGCAAGCAGAGAGAGAGAGGAGGAAGCAGGTTCCCCGCTGAGCAGAGAGCCCCTGATGCGGGACTCGATCCCAGGGATCATGACCTGAGCTGAAGGCAGAGGCTTTAACCCACTGAGCCACCCAGGCACCCCTGAAATTTATTTATTTAACTTGAGTATTAAAAATGTGTGTTGGAGAGCAAGGCCTGTGGGGATCGGCCCCTCCCCTTCCCCAGCTGCCCTGGGGCTGTCCTGACCAGAACAGGTTCTGACCCCAGCTCTGCCCATAGCCTCCTTCCAGCCTGACTTAGGACCTGTGCCTGGCCTTGGGGACTCTCCTGATAGGACAGAAGCAGGGAAAGGGGCAAGAAGAGGCTCTTAGCTGGTCCTAGGAACTCTCAGACAAGGACCTTTTATAGCTCCTAACGGGAGTCATTGCCAACACTAACCCCTAGCCACCTCTGGGGCAGAAAAGAGGGTTCTCCTAGGACCAGAGCTCCATTCATGGATTCAATGAATCTTTATTTTTATTTTTTAAAATATTTTATTTATTTGTCAGAGACGGCACAAGCAGGGGGAGTGGCAGAGCAGGCAGAGGGAGAAGCAGACTCCCTGCTGAGCCAGACGCTTAACCGGCTCATCACCCAGGTGTCTTCAATGAATCTTTAAAAAGCGCCTCTCCATGTGTCTACATCTTCGTGGGAGACAGGCTGGAGATGCCAGAGCTGGTTCTTTCTGAGTATCAGGCATCAGTGAATGAAAGAAAAGAGAAGCTGCCAGGGTCCCAGGTGGGGTTATGCCGGAGGGGAGACCTCCAAGCCTGGTGTTGACAACTGTGGCATGGAGCAGGGCTGACTTTTGAGGATCTGGTTAGACAGCTGTGAGCAGAAGGTGCTGAGCTCAGGTGCTGTGCAAGGGTCCTGGGGCCATGACCCTGGGAGAGGCTGCCGGCCCTGGAGAGATGGGGCCCAGAGGAAGAGAGGCTGGGCAGGAGATCCGGAGGGAAGTTGACAGGTAGAGAGCAGGACACAGACTCTGGCCCAGAGGAGAAGCAGCAGCTCATGGGTCAGAAGGACCAACCCCAGACGGTCCTGCTGTGGAGGAAGGAAGCCCAGGCCACGCTATGGCAATGACAGAGCATGTCAGGGTGTGGGCATAAGGGCTGGCCTGATGGGCAGAGAGCTGTGTGTTTGGGTGTGGACTGGAGAGCCTGACGTCATGCCACATCGAAGGACAGCCCAAGCCCAGAGGTAACAGGTCTCCTGAGGGCTTCCTCACTGAGGCCTCCTGTTCTGGCCGTTTTTGCTGCCTTCTTTTGACAGTGCCCCTGGCTGGTCCCACAGCCCAGCTACTGGGCCAATCCGGAAACCTCTTCCCTCTGGGCCTGTTCCTTGGCACTTCCTTGGAGTGGGGGGCACGCCAAGCCTTCCTAATCACATGGGCCTCTCAGAGCTGAAGCCGCGAGTTCCAGGGTCAGGCCATCCAGGGGTACCAGGAGCTCCATGGCTCAGTGGGAAGCCTTGGAGGAGAGAGGCTGGGGAGACCCTGGGCTCTGGCCATGCCACCTCATCTGGCTTGCTGTGGGGGTGAAGGGCTCTGGATAGAGGAGGTGTCTCCCAGCACACAGACACTGGGGATGTGGGGAGGGGGCTCTAGACATCTCTGTTCCAGCTCCTCCAGCTCTTAGGGCCTCCTCCCCTCCCCCTTTAATTAATTCTGGGTGAGCAGCCTGGCTTTATTGTGCAAGGAGCTCGGGTCTCACTGTGGGAAAAGTCACACCTTCTGAGCAGCTTCTGATGCCATGCAAATGAAGAGACCGTCCAGGAAACGCTTTCATCTGCACGGCCGCCTGTCCAGCCCCCAGCCCAGTAATTGCCCACATTTCGTTTGTTTGAGAGCAATTCCTGGGGGGAGCCATAGGGTCGGAGGGAGTCTGGGGTGGGGGTGGAATGTCAGGCTCTCTCTGCCTGTGATCCTGGCCACGGAGCGGGGAGGCTGGTCACTGGCTAGGCCAAAGCCACTCTTGCAACTCCCGGGGCTGGGGACTCCCGAGGCTGGGGACTCCCGAGGTCTCCGGGGTGGTGGATGGAACCGTGGTGGCCGTGATGGAGAAGAGGTGCGCTGTCTGGAGAGCCAGACCCGCCTTACAGAGAGGAGGGAGATGACAGGTGGTGGCGGCGGCACTGCTGGCCGTGGCTAGGGGAGGTGGAGAGGGATGGGAGGTGGGGATCCTCGGGGCGGCCCGGGCCTTTGGGAAGGGGCTGACATCCGGCAGGACCCCGGGTCAGGGACCCATGGGAGCAGAGCCCAGAGCGGTGGGGCCAGGCTGGGCTAGAGCACCCACCACCTTGTTTATCTTCGCCTTGCTGCCTCCACAGAGCCCTCGCTAATGGGGTTTTACAGCCCACTCAAGCTGCAACTGGCCGAGAATCAATCATTACCGGCACTTAGTGGTTTGATAGTTAACAGCCTGAACTGAAGCCAAACTGGTTGTTAACTGTGATAACAACTGATTTCAAGGGGTTATTGCCGGCCCAATATGCTCAGTCCATTTATTTCGGGGAAAACAAGCAGGGAGCCGTGGCAAGGCCCAGAAAAGGGAGGAGGACGGGGCTCTTCTCAGCCAAAAGGTCCGCTGCTCTGCTCTAGAGTGGGCGCTGGCTGTGAGGGCCCTGGGGGGCTGCCTGAGGCCTACGCCAGGCTCAGCCTCCCAGGACTTACTGAGGACCTGCATGCAGGCCCAGGTGACTCCCACAGAAGGCCTTCTCCTCAGTGCTTACCTCATCCGCATTGCCCCTCCTTTTTTTCTAGCAGTACCGCCCATGAGACCCTCACGAGGACTGACTCCCCACGAGGAGGAAGCAGGCCTAGTGGCCAGGCCTCTGCTCGTCCCCACCCAGAGGGTGGGGCTGGACCCACTCACCCATTCCTCCCTCCCCAAAGCCTCCCAGAACCCTGCTCGCTCCAAACTAGAACCTTGTCTTTCATTTCAAAGCCAGCAAAGACTCCGCCCAAACCTTGATGAGAAAGAATGAGTGAGGGCTCTCTCCTCTCACTCCACTAGGTTCTGCCCAACCCTTCCTTCTATCCTAGCTGAGTGACAGAAGAGAAGGCTGTGGGCAAGCATCATTCTAGAAAGCCGCTGCAGCAAAGGACCTGGGAGTTGTTCACCATCTAGAGACAGACAGCCTAGGGCCCAGAAGGTGCATAGCTAGGATCGAAGCTAGTACTGGAAATCAGGTGTTAATTTCCAGGCCCAGGCTGCCTCTTGAGGGTTGTAGGTCTTTCCTTAATTCCATTCATTCATTCGATATTTATTGAGTGCTTACTGGGTGTGGGTCAAGCTCTATTCTAGGTAGAGGGACAAGCAGGAGATGAGACAAAAGCCCTGTAATTATGGAGCTCATATTCTAGTGGGTAAGGGGGTGCAGAGCAAATGGTACATAGCATGGCAGACGCTGAGAACCACATCGGGAAAAATGCAGAGAAGGGAATGAGTGTGAAAGGTAGGGTAGGTGGCAGCAATCTTAAATAGGGTGCACAGAGAAGGCCTCACTCGAATCTTCATGTTTGGGGAGGTGAGACTTTCTGGGGAGGGGTGTGGAGAAGGTTAGAAGCTGAGGTGAGGCCAGAGAAATAGAAAGGGGTGGTAGTGGAGGGCAGATCACACAGGGCCATTGAAAAGGCTTCAGTTTTGATTCTGAATGAGATAGCACACCATCGGGGGCTTCCAAGCAGTAGAGTGACAGGCTCTGAATGAAGTTTTAACAAGATTACTTTGGCGGCTGTGTGGAGAACCGACAGCCAGGGAGCCAGGGAGCCAGGGAGACCAGTTACGAAGTGACTGAAGTAATCCAGACCACAGATAGTAGTGGATTGGAGGCAGTGAGAAGAGTTTGGGATTTGGGGTAGTTTTTACAAGGGGGGATGACAAGACTTGCTGATGGAGTTGAATATGGGCTGTGAGAGAGAAGGGATGTGAAGGGTTTCCAGGGTTTCTGGCCCGAGCCACTGAAAGGATGGAGGGGCCATTTGCTGGCACAGAGAAGACTGCAGAAGGGGCAGATTTTGAGAGGAAGAGTAGAAGTTTAGTTTTGGATATGTTACATCTCAGCTGACTAAAGAAATACACAAAGGGAGATGGTGAGTGAGCAGTTGTGCACGTGTCTAGAATTCTGGGGAGAGGTCTAATGTGAAGATACAACTTTGGGAGTATTTGACACACAGGTGTTTTTATTTTTTTAAGATTTTATTTATTTATTTGACAGAGAGAGAGAGAGACAGCAAGAGAGGGAACACAATCAGGAGGAGTGGGTGAGGGAGAAGCAGGCTTCCCGTCAAGTAGGGAACCTGACGCGGGCTCGATCCCAGGACCCCGGGATCATGACCAGAGCTGCAGGCAGACCCTTAACAACTGAGCCACCCAGGCGCCCTACACAGGTGATTTTTAAAGCAGGAGATGGAATGGGTTCCCTTGGGAGTGAGCGTAGCTAGAGAAGAGAGGAGCCGGAGCCCCAAGTCTGAGCGCTGGGATACACCTGCAGAAGTCATGACAGAGGGGGAGCCAAGGGAGGAGATTGAG